AATATAAGAATGCAGATGTTGTACAATTGACTCCTAAAGTACAGAAAAAAAGCATGAATATCAACATTTGTTGCCCATGTCTTTTTCAACTCACCAGTAAGAAAATGGGATAGCATTCCTCCAAAAAATCAAGCTAGATTCTAATAGCTTTGCCTGGTTATTCAATTTGTGGCCTTTTATAGGGTCAATAATGGGTGCGATGTGTGTATTTCCTCCCAGAAGTGGAACATGTCCGCTAGAGAGAAAGATGACGCCCAATCTTTGCAGTATAAACAAAAAAGAGTGCTTGGCTGATTATGATTCCTTCATACTGGGCATGCTGAACCCCTTCAGTCTGCATCCGTTTCCTGAAGATCTTCAATTAGTAATGGCAGAATTAAAGGTGCTAGGGAACAGGATAACATGGGACAAACAGAGAGAATTCCACTGCAGGTCCTCAGAAAACGCCTAATCCCCTCAGGTTGATAAGTTGCCTTGTTCTGGAGCATGGTCTTACATTGACACCGACATAGCCCTCTAAATGGGGCTCCCTTACAGAGACTAAACATCCAGCCTGTTTGACTAAAAGTATAAATGTTTGCAACTATGTGTGATCTATTCCAAAGGCTGTCTCCACTTCTGGGATCATTGGATACTTATACCCATAAACACTCTTCTGCCTCTCTTCCCCCTGATTATCTTCAAGTGTTAAAAACTGAACTGCCTAGCACACTTCCATTTGGAGAAGGCTAAGGGGACACAGACATTTTAGGGGAGGTTACAGAGGATTTTTTAGTTCTAGAATTTCATGAAGTTACTACTTCGGCTCCTTAATACATGCTGGTTTCCTCGGACTAATTGGTTGAAGCAGTGCATTCTAGTCTCTGATACACACCTAGTGTTGCTCAGCCCCCACATATTGTTTTAAGCATGACAACGAAGGCTATTTTTAGGAAGCTTTTCCCTATTCTTGATCAAGCCAATTGGGCCTTATAAAATTGTTGATTCAAATGAGAGCGGTTTTTACCTGCTCCTGATCATTTTGATGCCTTGTTTGGGGGGGACGTGGGGATTTAAGAAGAAATGGACTGTTCCATTGTGGACCTACTGTAGACATTCAATCTATTTTTTCCATTTGAGGACCTCCATTTTAAGTATTCAGATGATAGGCTATTGGAGTCGTCCTTTTGCTTTTTTAGGTTCTACCCTGCATCCAGCTGTTGCTACTTTGTCAGTTGCCAAGACCATGGCAGAGCGACTGGAGAAATCAATAATGTTCTGCGAATATAAATGATCTTAATATTGCTGCAAGATTTCAACACTTGCCGTCAGCAAGGTATAGAAACCATGGAGAACATGATCTTTCAAATCTCCAGAATGTCCTTACTTTGCATATGTGCAGAATCCTATGGCTTAAAGCTTGGTAGGCAGACCGTCCTTCTGAAAGGTGCCTTTTTGTGCATGCTCTTCAAAGGTGAGCCCCTCTTTGGAAATACCCTTGAAGATTACATTGAGACTACTGAGGGAAAGGGTGGTTCTACTCCACTATGCTCAGTCATATTTCCCTATTGAATGGGCCTCCTCTACCATACAGACATGATCTTCTCACCCCCTCAGGATATCGTCACCTACCACACATCCTTCACTTCATGTCAGACCCTCTTTCCCTAAGCCCGCCAGACCTGCTCAAAAACCTTTGAAATAAAGGTTTGTCCCCATCCCTGTAGAAAGGGGAGAGATGGACACCTACTAAAAATTGCTCCACCTTATTGCAAAGATGTCCTGTTTTTTTATTTAAATCTGTTATTTTAGGGTCTCTTGCCATCCTCTCTTCTTTTCTAACTTCATGTTCAATAAATGCTGTTATTGGTACCATTCTTTCCATGAGAATTTCCCCCAAGTTCTGCTGGCAAACTTCTTAAGGACAGCCAGTGCCCAGCTTCTTCTGTCAAGGTCACTGAAAATATGCTCCCCACTAAATGCAGAGGTTAGCTGTATTACATGGAGCCATTTCTACACAGTTCCCCCTAGCCTTCAACCCTCAGGCATTGGCTTGAATATTGATAAGCCCTTTCTTCCAATATGTGGGTCAAGGGCTGCCAGTTTTATGAGATGAGAAGTTTTTCTGCTGTTGCCTACTCAAAAGAACTGGTCTTGAAACTAGTTGACTTCTTCTGCCCATTTAATGCTGGAATAGGTAGCATTTCCACTGTTTTCAGTACCCATTGTGTTTCCCCCCAACATGTGGACTGTAAGAGCCTTGGCACTTCCCTGTCCATCTCATCAAACATCTTCAGTTATGTGACTGCTCTACAAACTCTTGACTAGAGATTTCCCAGCATTTCTAATGCCCTAATATCTACCACTTAGGCACATTCCAACCTCTTGGTTGGATGTCAGGGACATGCAAATCTCTTCAGTTATACTCTGCAATCTATCACATAGTTGTCACCTAGTATGATGATAGGAAACCTTATCCTAGAAATGGTTTCTGGAAGAATGGAAACTACTCCCTTGAAATGGTTTCTGGAAGAATGGAAACTATTCCTTGTTAACTCTGACAGTCAGTTATACCTTGGCTACCCCTGTGTTCTTCCTGGGGAGGGCTCCCTCTTTCTCTTACACTACATAGGGTCAAAGTATCCTGATAGTCATTCAGTGCTGCTTCCCTAGGGTTATTCCTTTTTGCTTTCTTTTAGGTATGCACCAACAACGATACCAGTATTGGTATCTGTGCCGATACTGAGTATTTTCATGGACACAAGCACTCGTGAAAATGCTCCAGATAGCCAAAACTGATACTTCGCAGTGCAATTTGCTTCTATACAAAATAAATGCGTGCAAATTGCACTGCAAAGAATAGCATGCGATTTGAACAGGAATGATGCAATTCCTGTCCAAATCGCAATGTAGTTTACCCACCGTTCCTGTGTGAATCCAGGCTTGTCACACAGGATCGGTGCAGGAAACTTCCCTGCACCGATCCTATACTGCTGTGCAATGAAAAGCTGCTTCACAGGTCTGGGGATTTTAAATATCCTCAGCTTTCTCTGCAGGGATGACACTATGGCTAGACTTTTTTTTTTTTTAATTGCTCAGCACTGTGATAGTGCTGACCAGTCAGAAGCCATCTTGCCCTCTGCAAGAAGAGGAGAGAAAGCTGTGGGGACTTCAAATCCCCAGGCCTGTGAAACGGTTTTTCATTGCGTAACAGCATGGGATCGGTTCAGGGAGGTTTCCCGCACCACTCCTGTGTGAACTCAGGCTATGACAAGTCTGGGTTCACACAAGAGCAGTGAGGAAAGCGCATGCGATTTGGACAGGTATCTCACTGCATTCCTGTTCAAATCGCATGCTATTTCCACTGAGATTTGCGCCCATTAATTTTGCATGGACCCAAATTTCACTGCAAAGTATTGGTACTCTGTATCGGCGAGTACTTGACCAGAAGTATTGGTACTCATACTCACCGATTTAAAAAAAAAAAAAGATTTGCCTTATAGTCAGGACTGTTCTTTACGGTTGCCTGCAATGAATTTCCTTGCCAACTGACACCACTTCCTGTTCTTCACAGTGCAGTCCTTCTATGTAATTTCTTTTTCTTGCATTGGTCCTTCTCAAGGATCATAAGATCACAACCTGTTTTTCTGTTTGAGCTTCTGCTGATCCTTGCTTCGCCTGCAAGTTTCTTCTGTTTCTTTTTGGGTCCATTTACCCTTTTTGTTCTTTTCTGGGGATTTGTTGCTGCAACTTTGACTGTTTTGTTTGCTACCCCTCAATTTATTTGGGAAGGGCTTGTGGTTTAAGAATTGACTGCTGTGTCCTGTACTGTACAATTAAAGGAAACCGTTCCTGCCCCTTTTTTCTCTGTGACCTCCTTACTGTTTACTAAAAAGAAAAATTGGAGCCTCACTGAATGGGCAGCATTATATGGCTAAACTGGAGGAGGTTCCCAGCAAAGCTTTTGCCAGTGTCAAATCACCTGAAGGTAGCAACATATAACCCATGGAATCTACTCCTGAACTGTACGTAGTATATGGAAATCCCATGTATATCAAAATTCCTGTTTTTATTTTTTGGAGTTCTTGGAGGGACACAGGCCTTCCTCTGGGTTTTGTTCAGGCCCTTAGTACTGCTTTGTCACAGAGGTATGCTGGGTAGAGGATGAGTTATATTGGGCAATAGCTTATGATTTTTCTGTTTGCTAGTGTCCAATCTTCCTGTAGGTAACAGTATAACCCAACTGCATCTGAATTCCTGTGTCTCTCTATGGACTCTACTGAATTTACTGTAAGTGTAGGTTCACATTTGTACAGTTTCCGTACTGTCCCTTGCACCTTTTTTAAAATCATACCTGCATAGAAACTGTATGGTCCTGTTTGTTTCTGTGTAGAATTAATGGCACCACCACACATCTGTTAAACAGCAGTGCGAATTTCTGCAGATGTGGAAACATGTAGCGATTTACATGCAGTCCTGCCCCTGCAGAGATGTGAATCTAGGCTTATGGGAAGTACAAAAATGTCATTTTCTCCAGCCTCCAGTGTTTCAAACTTGTCAGATTGGTGGCATTTAACAACACAGTAGTGTCTGATTGTGTGGACTGTGGTACTTGTACATAGATCCTTTCTGGCAGTTTTGAAATTCTAAGTGTCAGAGTGGTGGTGCAATATACAGCTCCCAGAGGTCTTGTAAATCGGCAGTGTCTCTTCTCTCACGGCACTAACAGGAAGGCAGCTTTCCAGCCATCCATCCACCTGCTTTGTGCACTCCATGGATTATTCACTGTGGACTTGAGCACTGATTGTGTTTGTTTAATCACAAGTTGTACTAAAAAATGATAGGCTAGTGAGACTAAATGGGAGAGATGTAGGTCAACCTTTTGCTGTACCAGAAGTAGCACTATAAAAGTTCACAGATTTGTTGAAATGTTTTAAAAGCATAATACCTATTACACAAACCTAGATCTTGAGCCTGTGTAAAAACGGCCTCTTTTAGTGACATTTATCTTTGTTTTCTAGGGCCCACTGGTTTTTAGCTGTAATATGTTTTCCTGGTCTAGAAGAACCTGTGTGTTATCCGAACCGTTACTACCAAGCTGGAACTTTGCAGGCTACATCAAAGGCAGATGACAGCAGAAACTCTGCCATCCCAGGGGATTCACAGGGTTGCCTGCAAGGTTCTTCCGCCAAGTCAACTGTAAAGAAAACGCCTCACAAGAAACAAACCCTTGCTCCAAATGAAGCATGTTCTGGGACTGTTGAAAGTGACACATCTGGGACAAGACGAAGTCACTGTGTAGGAAGGCACACCCTTAGAAGAAATGATCAGGAACAGCAGGAGACATCAACGCTTAAGTCTCTCTTTCCACAAACAGACTCCAATCCTAAAAATGTAAATGGAATAACACATGAATGTAAAACACCATTAAAGCATCTTGGTAAGTATACTATGTCATGGAGTATTCTTATTAGAAGAAGCAGCAATTGTTTTAGATCACAAACTCGTTTTTTAGATAGTAAAGCTAACCCTTTACTGTGACTGATCAACCTTTCCTAGTGCATGTTTGTTCATTGGAGACTGAGAAGGGGAGCTTTCATTTCAGGATATTTAACAGATTCTCTTTAGTATAACTGTATACACAACAAAAGTAGCAAGCTGGTCTCTCCATCGTCCATTGAGGTGCTCAGGAATTTAGAAACTGCCTTCCACAGGTTACAGCAATGGCAGGCAATTGCATACCAGTCCGTATATAACCCCTCCTCTATCCAGCATGCGTTAAGTTTTTTTGCTACTGCCCTAGCAGGTTGTACACCTTACTTTTCAGCTCTGAAGAAACAAAAGTCTATTTTTTGCTTGCCTTTTTTTCTATGTGTAATTTTGTCCTCTGCATTATCGGGGTCTAGAGCCATGGCACAGCCTCAAGTGTTACCCTGTCTCTGAAGATTCATGTTGTAAGAAAGGCCGGTTGTGCTGAAGCATCAGGGCCACTGTACTACCCTGCATCTGGATAATCAACCTGCTGTTCTAGGTCTTACGTCTTTTAGAGCTGTACAGCTTTTTGCTACACCTGCTTTGTGTCCTTTTTGTGCACATACTGGAATAACCTCAAATGGTACTGGGCCTCACCTGACAGTGTGTCAGAATATTTCTCCGTTGATTTGTAAATCTGGTCAGTGCCCAGTATGGATGCACCAGGGATCCACTTTTAAAGAAAACACCCCTAAACAGGTTTAAGATGTACTCCCTTTTCAGGACTTCACTGACAGTCTAATTCCCTCCTTAGTCAAGTGTGAATGAACTGGCTTGGCCTTCTATCCTGTGTTAGTAGTAACCTTGATCTGCCAAACTATGTCGGAATGGGTAAAATCCCTAAAAGAGATCCCCCCCATTGTGGAGTTAGACCCATTTTTATAACTCAAAGCTTTAGTTGTTACAGCCTGGTACAAGCCTCAAGTCTCACATGGGACTAATGTCTGTACAATTGTGTAGGGCACTCTGGCTGCATTCATCGGATTTGGTCATCTGGCAGATAGTACTTACAGGCTTTCAGCACCTAACTCCCATTTAGGCCCTACTGCCTTGAGTCAGAGGCCAGCTAATCTTTCTGATAGGCCTCCTGTTTGAAGTTGCGCTTCCCTTACTGTAAGTGAGAGTCCTTGCGTAGTTTGCCTCCCTAGCTTCTGGGTTCTCAGCACACCTGGTTTTTTTTGTCACATTAGGTAATTCCTTGTGTATTGCATTTCTTTCAGCTGCCCTTCATGTCTCTTCTTGTGCTACTCCATTCTGTGGTCTGTCTTACCAGGCCTTACTGGGTTCCCTGCAACCTGGGATCCACTTTTCCTGTAAAGGTGAGAACTTTGTCTTCAGAGTTGTATCCCATCTGCATTTACCCTTCTTTCTTTGGGAGAATTTTACATCCTGGGATACTGTTGAATCTCTTGTGGTAAATGCTACCCCTCAGCATTTTCCTCTCTCCAGAGGGAGCTCTTGATTTACAAGGTTGGGAAGGACCAGTTCCTGCTGCTTTTCTTAACAAGAACCTGACACTGGAGGCATTTTCTATTTTGTAAAGCACTGGACCTTCTATCCAACTTAGTTGTGCAACGCTTAGATGACCTTCCTTAACCACAAAGACAGGCAGCATTGGAGCAGGCACATGTCAATCAACTTGCTGGAGCCCCACCCTCAAGCCAACAAAGAGAGTCACATGGGGCAGCTTCCAGAGGAGAAAAGAAAAAGAATGGGGAACCAGGGAAGCTTGCAGAGGAATGTGCAATGACAGTGACATATAGGAGCCAAAGGATCAGATGCCACTAACAGTAGGGAAGTCCATGGAAAAGAATCAACCAGGTATTAACGAATAAGGAAAAACTGTATGCTGGTGAGTTTTTGCACACACGTTTAGGATATACTTTTTAAGAGATATACATAAATATAGTTTTTGGGTTTATGATACTTTGTGTATAAAGTTAGTAGTTTGTTAACCGCTTCCCCGCCGCTCTACAGCAGATACACTGCTACAGGGCGGCAGTGGTGTGCAAAATCATGTGTATATACCAGGGGTGGGCAAACATTTTGACTTGAGGGCCGCAATGGGTTCATATATTGGACCCGGGGGCCGGACCAAGAGTAGATGAATGATGTGTATGTGTCATCCATAGCAAGTATAGTAATATTCCCCCATTGTAAGCATAGTAATTAATCCCCCATATAGTAATTCATCCCCCATATAGTAATTCATCCCCCATATAGTAATTCATCCCCCATATAGTAATTCATCCCCCATAGGAATTCATCCCCCCTATAGTAATTCATCCCCCCTATAGTAATTCATCCCCCCTATAGTAATTCATCCCCCATATAGTAATTCATCCCCCATATAGTAATTCATCCCCCATATAGTAATTCATCCCCCATATAGTAATTCATCCCCCATATAGTAATTCATCCCCCCTATATAGTAATTCATCCCCCATAGTAATTCATCCCCCATAGTAATTCATCCCCCATATAGTAATTCATCCCCCATATAGTAATTCATCCCCCATATAGTAATTCATCCCCCATATAGTAATTCATCCCCCATATAGTAATTCATCCCCCATAGTAATTCATTCCCCATAGTAATTCATCCCCCATAGTAATTCATCCCCCATATAGTAATTCATTCCCCATATTAATTCATCCCCCATATTAAGTCCCCAAGTCCCCCCTGTGTCAATTCACTTACCTTTGCTCCGCGCGTTCCTCTCGCCGTGTTCCCGCGCCGTTCCGGTGTAGCATGAAAATCTGTCTCCTATGAGGATCTGTCCCCCTAGACGTATCTGCGCATGTGCCAGTTTCAGGCATTAGCAGCCGATCAGCGATCTCCGGCACATGCGCAGATACGTCGAGGGGGACAGATCCTCATGCTACACCGGTCTTCACAGCGGACTGTGAGAGGAGCCTAGCTCCGCGGGCCGGATTAAAAGGTCCGCCGGGCCGGATTAAAAGGTCCGCCGGGCCTTATACGGCCCGCGGGCCGTAGTTTGCCCATTGCTGGTATATACGCATGATTTTGCATTTCTGGGTAGGGGGCGCACGCGAGCAAGCCCTACCCGCGCCGCCATTGACAGCCACGGCTGTCAATCACGGGGTCCGTTAAAGTAACACAGCACCGTAACGCAAAAAATGGCCTGGTCAGGAAGGGGGTTAAATCCTCAGGAGGGCAAGCGGTTAAAGCAGTGGACACCGCTGTCATAAAGTTTGCTCTTTTCAGCAGCCTTTTAAACCTTTATTGTGGTTACTAAATTGAGATCATTTTACAAAGCAAGATTATACTTGCATCCCGAAGAAGCCAGCTTACCCTATACCTTCTCCTGTGTATGGAATTTTAAGTTGTCACATATTCTTTACAGATGTTCAACCGAACTGCAGCAAGTGAATTGTATGAATGTGGTTTCTGTTTCATCTAGTATTCACTCCAAATCCAGTCCATGTGACCTACTTAAATTGTGTTTTATCCCACGCAGATGGTTTGCACAGAATACAAATAAGCTATAGTGATTCACCAGATGACTTGAAAAAGAATGAAGAGGAGTTCATAGATTTTTCAGATGACCAAGATAATCCGGTATGTGAAATAACTGTAAAGTTTCAAAAACATTTTTTTATTTGCAGCACAATTGAGTGTTGAAATAACTAGATATATACACACACACTATATAAGCCATTTTTGTAATTTGAAGTTGTCAAAAGTAATATTTCTATTTCTTTTTGCAGCCGCAATCATTATCTAAAATTGAACAACAAATGTATAGTTCTCATTTCTGTACCCATGAAATGACCATACTTTACATTGTGAAATGAATGTCATCGCTTGCTTGTGTGATTGGCTGAATGATTTTTCCACTAGTTATCCCCTGATTATAGCAGGTAGAGATTTTCATTTGGCACTGAGGAAGTAGGAAGTTAATGGCATGCAAGTAAGCAGAGCAGATAGAGCAGAAATATTTGCTTAAGTTTTGTATATTATATAACTAGTCTGGAAATAATTTAAAGTCCAACTTCGGCCATTTGTTTTTTTAGATAGCCTAGGAAAGAGTTTAAATTTCTTTGCATGATCCATTTAGGGATATTTTCTTTCACTTTTCTGCCCCTGTGATGTTTGTGCAAGAAATGGAGGGTATAGTCATCTTTGAGACAGGCAAGTGCACACACCAATAAAGAAAAAAACCTTTAGTTGTCATAGATTACAGGATAGTATTCACGACTGTAGGGTTATGTTGCTCCATTGAGGTGATTGAACACTGGCAAAACTGTTAGAGCTGCACTGCATAACCACTCCCAGCAGGCCTCGTATTTTTTTTAGGAGACTGACATTTACCAGTGTACTTCTGTAAAACCAGCCTGTCAGGTTTTTCCCGATCGATCAGTGCAGTAGGTTTTATCTGGCAGCACTGGTCAGTGTATATGGATGGCAGGGATATCTCCCTGCTGTCAGAACACAATAGTTTAACGGGAAGGATCCCCCCATCCACATGGAGTGTGTGGATGGGGGATTCGGTGTGGTTTCTTTCTTTTTTTTTTTTTTTCTCCTCTTTCCGGTCAACCTGCTAGTTGAATGAAAAAAAAAAAAAGATTAATGCATGGTCTGCTTTACTTTGAGCAAGTTTCTTTTATACCTGCAGAGACCTTATGCGTCAGTTTCCATTCTTTCAAATCAGTTGATTGTTGGCAAAGCCGGGGGGGGGGGGCCTTACTGGGACCCAACGAGAACATGATGTGGGGACAGCCTGTAACCTCCCTTTGTGTACTGGATACTGTATTAGGTGACCAACCCTCAGTACCAGACATGCTAATCAAATGAGAGCGGAAGAGTGCTCCACAGGTCCACGTCAAAGGGTCTCACTTCTATGGTACCTTGTTCCTGAAGATCCCAGCAAGAGTTTACCCAGCAGAGGGAAGAAGTCTCTGTTCAGTTTTTGTGTGATCCTGTGTACATTGGGACCCCACCAACCACAGTAAGTCAGGGCCTCCTTTATGATCTTTAATAGGGGAGCCCCTGAGTGTATTCTACAGGGTTATCGACTTCCGCGTTATCCAAGAAGGAATCTAATGCTACCAAATCTGACTGTTCTCAGCCTAGAAAGTGCCTTCACTGCTGCAGCCCATTTTATATGGGTATTTTTATTGTTTTTTCCCGACAGTCACCTATGGTACTGTTACTCTTTTCCCCACTTTGTTTTCAATCCTGTCAACATCATTTCCCCCCCCCCCCCCCCCCCAAAGCTACAAGATCTATGCATTGTGCTGGCTCAGCTCCTGTCTTAAGAAGTAGTAGCTTTTGTCCCAAAAGAGAAAATGTTTTAGTGGTGTTACTCAAACTTTTTTACAGTTGCAAAGCCAAACAAGGCTCATAATAGATCTAAAGGTTCTCAACACCTTTCTTCGGGTACAAAAATTAGGTTTTGAATATAGCAGGTCAGTCATTGCCTCACTACAGAGAGAGGGTTTCCATGCTTGGATGGATATCAAGGATGTTTACTGGCATGTCCCCGTCTTCACATCACCTTGCCTTTTTACTCACAAAGAGTTCTCATTGTAGGTTACTTCGATAACGTTCTGCTGAGGTTAAAGCATATACTGCTATTACACTGTGGATCTTCAAAGTAGCATCCAAAAGTTTATTAAAGCAATCACATCACAGGAAAGAATTGTGACATATTGGGGCCACACACGACCCCTTCATCAGGCATGTGATAAATGCAGAGTTTAGTACAGTAACATGTGAAGTGTAATTCACCAATCACAAAACAGAAAAAATAGGGCTGACCTCTGACATAATGATGTCTCAAACCCACCAAAACGATGTAAATAGCAGTTATGCTAAGTCAAAGTAAAATGCAAAAATAGGGACCCGGTTGGATTGCACTGTCCATGCACTTCTACTTTACTTCTTCTTTGGACTCCACTACCTAAAAGCCCTTAAAAACACTGCCCATGCTGCAGTATATTAAAGTGACCCCCTTGAGGTATGTGGGGTAACCTTTTGACGCTGGGAAAATGGGTTTAATCAATTGGGCTCTATTAATATCACTTGTCATACCTATGCCAGTGCTACTGGACCTGCAGGAACCTTCCTTGCCACATCAGAGTCTCCTTGTACAGTCCAGGCACTACTGCGCCTGCATGCCCCTGAAGGTCATTGCAGCTGCGCTGCCTAAGGTTGTTATGCTTGCACTCCCTGGTTCTTTGGGCATGCTTTTTAGCTGAAAGACACATCCCTCTGGCTCGACATAGCAGTTTACCACTTTACCTAGATTCATAGTGGCCTTACACATACCAGGACCTTCTCCTCCCATTTCACAGCAGCGGAGAGATTGAGAACCCCTCAGGAGCATCATTTCGCACATATAGCAGATCACTAGCACAGGGGTAAGAGTTGCATGTTCTAGGTAACTCAGGCTCAGTCTTAGCTCCAGTGGGGATGTTTATTTAGCTACTCAAGGCCTCGGCACCCTTCTTCTGACAGTTGCTCCCTATTGGTCTCCCTACTTTCTCACCACTCTGCTGCTCTGTCTGCAACACAAGCTTTCTCCTCTTATCAAGAGAACTTTCTGCCATGTCTGATGGGCGGAATTCAAGCATTATACTGGCCTCTGACAGCAGGGGATTACATCTGTGCAGCATCATCCTACACTCCTGGATCTGTCTTTGACTTGCCCTTGAACCAGACACATTGCCTGAGGAGGTGGTAGTTGCATATGCATTTTATCCTTCTAAGGCAGGGGTGGGCAAACTTTTTGACTTGAGGGCCGCAATGGGTTCATATATTGGACCCGGGGGCCGGACCAAGAGTAGATGAATGATGTGTATGTGTCATCCATAGTAAGTATAGTAATATTCCCCCATAGTAAGCATAGTAATTAATCCCCCATATAGTAATTCATCCCCCATAGTAATTCATCCCCCCCATATAGTAATTCATCCCCCATATAGTAATTCATCCCCCATATAGTAATTCATCCCCCATATAGTAATTCATCCCCCATATAGTAATTCATCTCTCATAGTAATTCATCCCCCATATAGTAATTCATCCAAAATATAGTAATTCATCCAAAATATAGTAATTCATCCACCATAGTAATTCATCCCCCATATAGTAATTCATCCCCCCTATAGTAATTCATCCCCCCTAGTAATTCATCCCCCCTAGTAATTCATCCCCCCTATAGTAATTCATTCCCCATATTAATTCATCCCCCATATTAAGTCCCCAAGTCCCCCCTGTGTCAATTCACTTACCTTTGCTCCGCGCTTCCTCTCGCCGTGTTCCCGCGCCGTTCCGGTGTAGCATGAAAATCTGTCTCCTATGAGGATCTGTCCCCCTCGACGTATCTGCGCATGTGCCAGTTTCAGGCATTAGCAGCCGATCGGCGATCTCCGGCACATGCGCAGATACGTCGAGGGGGACAGATCCTCATAGGAGACAGATTTTCATGCTACACCGGTCATCAGGGCGGACTGTGAGAGGAGCCTAGCGGGAGCCTAGCTCCGCGGGCCGGATTAAAAGGTCCGCCGGGCCGTAGTTTGCCCATTGCTGTTCTAAGGTGTCAGATAAGGATGGTCTAGTGTTCTGGGCTTATGGATACCCTGGCTACCTGTATTGATGCTGTAAGTTCTTAAGTGTTGGAGCAGCACAAATCTTCTCCTCCTTGTCTGTCACTTATGGGATCCCTAAAATTCCCCAGACCAGTCAAGACTTTCTCAGTCCCTTTGCTGGTAATGTTTGTCCTGTAGGGAGACTGGCCTCACTTGCAGAAGATTTTACTCTGCCAGATTGTCTCGCCCAACAGTATCCTATATTGGGGAGTTTTCTTTGTAAGTGGTAGATCTGCCATCTCTTGCTTTGACAAGATACTTACAGCCCCCAAGGAGGATAATACCCATTTTCAAAGACAAAGTATATTAAAAGTTACTTATAGTTTTCTTTTTTTGGCAGTTCCTACCATGCAACTTGTGGTTGCGTCTATGGCAGTTTGTCAGATCACTGATGTCAGGACCTACTGCATGACCCACAATCCTAGCTTCATCCTTGTGGATGCTTCTATCCACAGTCAGATGTTTTATCTATGACCATAATGTGTAAATGGACTGGCAAATGCACTTTGACAAGTTTACAGAATGAGTCTTCTCTCTGTCCACATGCACAGGATACTCTGGGTCTAATATTGATCGGCTGAGCCCCCATGCAAGAAACGCAATGATTGTTCTCACCTTTGAGGGCAAACACCTGTTTGTCCCTTCCGTGCATAACAAATTAAAAAAACAAACACAGGGAGTAACAGTACTCTTCTATCCTGAAAGAAAAAGGTGTGTGCCTTTGCTAGGAGGTCTTCTATTCCTGAGGTTAATTTTTTATTTTTTTATTTTTTGCTGTGTCAATGCTATCTACGGTTTGTGGTGGGTGACCAGCATTACCAGTTTGTCACCCTTCCCTTTCACTTGTCTACGGCCCCAAATTTTCACCAAGGTACTTGCCCCAATTTTGTTTTTGTGACTTTGTTAGTGAGTGTAATCAATTAGCATACTATATCCCACCCCCATAGTATTTAGCAATAGGAGGGCATGGATGAGGAGGAGGAAGGGAGGGGAGTGTAATTTACCACTGTTAATACAGCCATATGTGTGACTCTATAGTCACATGGGCTGCACAGATGAGAAATAGGAAGAATTAAAGAGCTTAGATCTGAGCATGCTCAGTAGAGGACTCCAACTGGTCTAGACAATCTCAGTCTGCAAAGGGGACATAGAGAAGATGTGAGGACAGCAGAAGGCAGGATCAACCAGGTAAATTTAACTCCAAACAGAACAAATGCTTTAGTGGCTATGTGTGTATGAACACTCTGATATATAGCACGTAATGAGCTTTTCATAGTCTGGGTTTAATGACACATTAAGCTAGTGGGGAGTGGTTGGGGTTATGTGTGGGTTATCCCAACAGGTTTTTTTCTGCCAGTTTCTGATCACCTGAATGTACCTGTATATAACCCAGTTGTAATGATTTAAAGAAGCTGTATTCCAGGAAATGGTTTTTATTAAGTCAAAAATCTTACTCTTTGTCTTACCTGTAAAATCCTTTTCTTGAAGTACATTGCAGGACACAAGTCTGGCCCTTCAGTCCCTAATGACCCACTCCTACTGTTGCTTGCTGGGAGTCGGAAGGTTTATGCAGGGCTGTGCTAAGAGCTCTAATTTTCTCTTGTCAAATCCTACGTTTCCTACATTCCCGAATACCACCCTGTGTCTTGTATGTACTCCAAGAAAAGGATTTTACAGGTAAGACAAAGTTTTACCTCTTTATCACTCCATATAGGGTGGACTCCACCTGGAGACTACTTGCTCAGTGAGTGATCTGTCCACTGATCCCCGCTGGGTGCTCGGGTAGCTGGAATGGGTCTGCTCTGCTTATGCAGAGTGGACACACACACACAGCCTGCTCTTTATGGGCGGTCAGATGTAAACAAACCTCCAGTCCATTTACACCTGACTGCCATCTGGTCCGCTAGATGGATGGGTAACTGATCCCCATCCATCTGTTTTTAGCAAAAAGGATTGGATGTAGGCAGGTGTAAACAGACACATGTCCATTTACACCCGCTGCTCCATAGAGGAGAATGGAGGGCCCGATCGAGTTCACCTAAAAAACTGACAGGCGGACCGGATCGGGACACCCCTGTGAAGGGAGGTTTTTTGTTCTTGTCTGTCTTTGTCATTGGAAAAAAAATGTACCCATCGCTTAGTGTACTAATAAGTGAAAGAAATCTACCCAGCAGGGGCAAAGATAGTAGGGAAAACCTTACTGAGACTCCATTTCTTTCCATTTCTCTATCCAAAACAAAATAAAACATTTAGACTGGGCTGTTTGTTTTTTTGAGGGAGGGGGGAAAGGGAATTGTATTAGTTTTAATTCAGAAGTGAATTATGTTTAATTTAACCATTTGCCGACCAGCCAAAGTACATTTACTGTGGCAGGTCGGCACCGCTGCGCAAAATCTCTTGTGTGTATGTATGTGTATGTATGTATGTGTATATGTATATATATATATATATATATATGTGTGTGATTTTGCATTTTGGGTAGGAGGCGCGCAACCGCCCTACCCGTGCCGCCGATTGCTGGAGTCAATCACCGGGTCCCGGCAAACACTGACAGGGAGCACGGCTGCAGTGTTTTCACTGTGTAAGTTTCCCTGTGTAATTATCATTCCTTTCTTGTAGGATGAAAGCAGTGATGATGGTGGACTTGCTGATGACAATTTCACTTCTGAAGCAGGAAAATGGCATCTGAAACCTACATTCTGCAAGCAGTAAGTACACACGCTGCATTTAAAGGGTGGTTCACTGTTTTGTGATAATTCCCCAGCACATAACATACCACTTCTTTGCTGTTTGAATTGTTACCCTGTTACCCTTGAATCATGTAGGCCATGTGCAGGCTCTCAGAAAAAAAAACCCTTCATCTTCCCTTAAAGCCTAAAGATAGGCCTGGACAGATGCTAGCAGTGGCCACTCTAGGTTGCTTAAGCCCCATTCATGCACTCATTTCATTTATTTACCTGCTCAGCTATGCCCATGCTGCTACAGAGGGAGCACACTGTTTGAACAAGCCAAAGTATTAGCTGCTAGGGTTGCAATTCTGTCATGTAGCCCATTCTATCATTAAGGCAGGACAGTGTGAAATCAGCTACTAATGGGTTTTTACCGACAGGCGGGGCACAGGAGCAAGTATTTGAACAACAGGGGAGTGAAATGTAACGTGCTGGGAATGTTGGATTGCAAAGGAGATTTTTTTTGGCCCTTTAAAGGTACACTAAACCTTTAAGTGAACTAACACTATCTATATATATATATATATATATATATATATACACACACACGCACTGTAACCATGTATTTAACGTAAACGAAGCCAAGACAAAATACATACTTGTCTTAGATGACCACCTCTGCAATGGCAGCATTAGACTTTTTACTGGTCATTTTACAGGCTCAGAAGAATTTGACCCTGCTGTTTATGAGCAAGCCATGTTCCCAAGGTAGGAGGAGACAGACGTCTGAACAGCCATGACTCACTCATAAACAAGAAATTAAAGATCTCCTGAATCCTCAGGAATTGCTACTTTGGCAATTTTTTAACTGAAATAACCAAAAGGGATGGGATTATTTTGTAGATTTCTAAAGGAGAAAACCCAAATTTTTGCTGCCATTGTCTAAATCATGGTTGTAGTTGGCAATTTTATAGTTTTTGCTGTGTCAGCTGCTGGAAACATTATCAACCCATCCAGCATTTTTATTTAGTCTGTGCTGATATCATTTGCAGTGAAGTGTTCCTTTTTGTTAGGTCATTTATTAGTTGTTTTGAATATGGAGCAGGCAGTTTGATGTAGGGGTGGTCCATCTTATTTTTTTTCCTCCCACACAGCACTGGTATGATTCCATTTTTTCTGCTTAAAGAAGCAAAGTAGTGTGTGTGGGGTGGAGGAGATCAGTGTCTGCGAGAGGAGGAAAGTAGTGTGTGTCTGTGTGTGGGGTGCAGGAGTTTGATGTCTGTGAGAAGAGAAAAGCAGTGTATGTGGTGGAAGAGTTTGGTTTCTGCGAGAGGAGGAAAGTAGTGTGTGTGGGGTGGAGGAGATCAGTGTCTGTGAGAGGAGGAAAGTAGTGTGTGTGTGTGTGGGGGGGGTTGCAGGAGATTGGGTGTCTGTGAGAGGAGGAAAGTAGTGTGTGTGGTGGGTGAGATTGGTGTCTGTGAGAGGAGGAAAGTGTGTGTGTGGGGCGAGGAGATTGGTGTCTGTGAGAGGAGGAAAGTAGTGAGTGTGGGGGGAGGAGATTGATGTCTGTGAGAGGAGGAAAGTAGTGTGTGTGGGGCGGAGGAGATTGGTGTCTGTGAGAGGAGGAAAGTAGTGTGTGTGGGGCGGAGGAGATTGATGTCTGTGAGAGGAGGAAAGTAGTGAGTGTGTGGGGCGGAGGGATTGGTGTCTGTGAGAGGAGGAAAGTAGTGTGTGGTGGGGGGGGAGATTGGTGTCTGTGAGAGGAGGAAAGTAGTTTGTGGAGTGGAGGAGATTGGGGGGAGGAAAGTAGTTTGGGGAGAGGGGAGGAGGAGTGAGAGGGAAAGTAGTTGTGTGGGTGTGGAGGAGATTGGGGTGGGTGAGAGGAGGAAAGTAGGGGTGTGTGGGGGGGAGATTGAGGGTGTTGAGGAGAGGAGGAAAGTAGTGTGTGTGGGGGAGGGGGGATTGGGGGGATGGTGTCTGTGAGAGGAGGAAAGTAGTGTGTGTGGGGGGGTGGGGAGGATGGGTGTCTGTGAGAGGGGAAAGTAGTGTGTGTGGGGGGGGGGGGGGGGGGGTGGATCTTTTAGGGGAATAAAGTAGTGAGTGTGTGGGGGGGAGGAGATTGGTGTCTGTGAGAGGGAGGAAAGTAGTGAGTGTGTGGGGGTGGGGGGATTGGGGTCTGTGAGGGGGGGGGGGTAGTGTGTGGTGGGGAGGAGGAGGGTGTCTGTGAGAGGAGGAAAGTAGTGTGTGGTAGGGGGAGGAGATTGGTGGTCTGTGAGAGGAGGGGTAGTGGGTGTGGGGGAGGAGATTGGTGGGGGGTGGGGGGGGAGAGGAGGAAAGGGGTGGTGTGGGGGGGGGGGGATTGGGGAGGGGGGGGGGGGTGGGAGGAGGAAAGTGTGTGTGGGGGGGGGAGATTGGTGGGGGGGAGAGGAGGAAAGTAGTGGGGGTAGGGGTGGGAGGAGATTGGTGTCTGTGAGGGAGGAAAGGGGTGTGTGGGGGGGGGGGGGGAGATTGGGGTGTGGGTGGAGGGGGGGTAGTGTGTGTAGGGGGGGAGATTGGTGGGGGAGAGGGGGGTAGTGTGTGTGGGGGCGGAGGGGATTGGTGTCTGTGAGGGAGGAAAGTAGGTGTGTAGGGCGGGGGGGGGGGTGGAGGAGGGAAAGTAGGTGGTGGGGGGGGGGGGGGTGGGAGAGGAGGAAAGTAGGGGGTGGGGGTGTGGGGGAGATTGGGTCTGGAGAGGAGGGGGGTAGTGGGGGGGGGGGGGGGAGGGGTGTCTGTGGGGGGAAAGTAGGGGGTGGGGGGGGGGGTGGGTTGGGGGGGGGGGGGAGGGGGGGTAGGGGGGGGGGGGGGGGGGGGATTGGGGGGGGGAGGTGGGAGAGGGGGGGGGGGTGGGGGGGGGTGTGTGGGGGGGGGGGGGAGGGGATTGGTGTCTGGGAGAGGAGGAAAGTAGTGGGTGGGGGGGGGGGGGGGGGGGGTCTGTGGGGGGGGGGGATGGGGGGGGGGGATGGGGGGGGGGGGGGGGGGGGGGGGGGGGGGGTGTCTGGGGGGGGAGGGGGGTAGTGGGTGGGGGGGGGGGGGGGAGGGGGGGTGTCTGTGAGGGAGGGGGGTAGTGTGTGTGGGGGGGAGGGGGGGGGGGTCTGTGAGAGGGGGGGGTAGTGTGTGGGGGGGGGGGGGGGGGGTGGGGGTGGGAGTGGGAGGGGGAGGGGGGGGGGGGTGGGGGGGGGGGGGGGGGTGGGGGAGGGGGGGGGGGTAGTGGGGGGGGGGGGGGGGGGATTGGTGGGGGGGGAGGGGGGGGGGGGGGGGGGGGTGGGGGGGGGATTGGTGTCTGGGAGAGGGGGGGAAAGTAGTGTGTGGGGGGGGTGGAGATTGGTGTCTGTGAGAGGAGGGGGTAGTGTGTGTGGGGGGGGGGGGATTGGGTCTGTGAGGGGGGAAAGTAGGGTGTGGGGGGGGGGGGGGGGGGGGGGGGGTGGGGGGTAGGGGTGGGGGGGGGGGGAGGGGTCTGTGAGGGGAGGGGGGTAGTGTGGGGGGGGGAGGGAGATTGGTGTCTGTGAGGGGGAGGAAAGTAGTGGGGGGTGGGGGGGGGGGGGGGGGGGTGAGAGGGGAAAGTAGTTTGTGGGTGGGGGGGGGGGGGTCTGTGGGGGGGAAAGTAGTGTGTGTGGGGGGAGGGGGGGGGTGGGGGGGTAGGTGGGTGGGGGGGTGGGATTGGGGGGGAGGGGGGGGGGGGGGGGGTGGGGGGGTTGGGGTCTGGAGAGGGGGGGGTAGTTGGGTGGGGGGGAGGAGGGGGGTGTCTGGGGGGGGGGGGGGGGGGGGGGGGGGGGGGGGGGGGGGGGGGGGGGGGGGGGGGGGGTAGGGGGGTAGGGGGGGGGAGGGGGGGTGTGGGGGGGGGGGGGTAGTGGGGGGGGGGGGGGGGAGGAGATTGGTGTCTGTGGGTGGGGGGAGGGGTAGGTGGGGGGGGGAGGGAGGATTGGTGTCTGTGGTGGAGGAAAGGGGTTTGGGGAGAGGGGGGTGGGGGTGAGAGGAGGAAAGTAGTTTGTGGGGGGGGGGGGGGGGGGGGGTGAGAGGGGGTGAAAGTAGTGTGGTGGGGGGGGGGGGGGGATTGGGTCTGTGAGAGGAGGAAAGTAGTTTGTGTGGGGGAGGAGATTGGTGTCTGTGAGAGGAGGAGGGGGTAGGTTGTGGGGGGGGAGATTGGTGGGGGGTGGGGGGGAGGAGGGGAGTAGTGTGGGGTGGGGCAAAGGAGATTGGTGTCTGTGAGGGGGAGGAGGAAGTAGTTGTGGGGGGCAAAGGAGGGGGGGGTGTCTGTGAGAGGAGGGAAGTAGTGGGTGGGGGGGGGAGATTGGTGTCTGTGAGAGGAGGGGGGGAGTAGTGTGTGTGGGGCAAAGGGGGGGGTGTGGGGGAGGTGGAGGAAAGTAGTGGGTGTAGGGCGGGAGGGGGGGGGTGTCTGTGAGAGGAGGAAAGTAGTGTGTGTGGGGCAGGGGATTGGTGTCTGGGTGAGAGGGGGGAAGTAGTGTGTGTGGGGTGGGGGGAGGAGATTGGTGTCTGTGAGAGGAGGAAAGTAGTGTGTGTGGGGGGAGATTGGTGTCTGTGAGAGGAGGAAAGTAGTTTGTGGAGCGGAGGAGATTGGGGGGTCTGTGAGAGGAGGGGGGTAGTGTGTGTGGGGGGGGGGAGGATTGGTGTCTGTGAGAGGAGGAAAGTAGTTTGGGGAGAAAGGAGATTGGTGTCTGTGAGAGGGGAAAGTAGTTAGTTTGTGGGTGGAGGAGGGGTGTCTGTGAGGGAGGAAAGGTAGGGGGTGGAGGGGGAGGGGGGTGGGGATGGGTCTGAGGGGGGGTAGTGTGTGTGGGCGGAGGGGGATTGGTGTCTGTGAGAGGGGAAAGTAGTGTGTGTAGGGCGGAGGAGATTGGTGTCTGGAGGGAGGAGGAAAGGGGGGTGGGTGGGGGGGGGGGGGAGGGGGTGGTGGGGGGGAGGAGGGAGGAAAGTAGTGGTGTGGGGCAGGGAGATTGGTGTCTGTGGTTGAGGAGGGAAAGTAGTTTGTGGGGGAGGAGATTGGTGTCTGTGAGAGGGAGGAAAGTAGTGTGTGGGGTGGCGGAGGAGATTGGTGTCTGTGGAGAGAGGAGGGGTAGTAGTGTGTGTAGGGGGGGAGATTGGTGTCTGTGAGGGAGGAGGAAGTAGTGGTGTGTAGGGCGGAGGAGATTGGTGTCTGTGAGAGGAGGAAAGTAGTGTGTGTAGGGCGGAGGAGATTGGTGTCTGTGAGAGGAGGAAAGTAGTGTGTGTGGGCGGGGAGATTGGTGTCTGTGAGAGGGGGGGTAGTGTGTGGGGTGGAGGGGGTGTCTGTGAGAGGAGGAAAGGAAAGTAGTGTGTGGGGGGGATTGGTGTCTGTGAGAGGAGGAAAGTAGTGTGTGTGGGGGGAGGAGATTGGTGGATGTGAGAGGAGGGAAGGAAAGTAGTGTGTGTGGAGATTGGTGGTGTCTGTGAGAGGAGGGAAGTAGTGTGTGTGGGGCGGAGGAGATTGGTGTCTGTGAGAGGAGGAAAGTAGTGTGTGGTAGGGGGAGGGATTGGTGGTCTGTGAGAGGAGGAGGAAAGTAGTGTGTGTAGGGCGGAGGAGATTGGTGTCTGTGTGAGAGGAGGAAAGTAGTGTGTGGTAGGGGGAGGAGATTGGTGTCTGTGAGAGGAGGAAAGTAGTGTGTGTAGGGGGGAGGAGATTGGTGTCTGTGAGAGGAGGAAAGTAGTGTGTGTGGGGGGGTGGAGATTGGTGTCTGTGAGAGGAGGAAAGTAGTGTGTGTGGGGCGGAGGAGATTGGTGTCTGTGAGAGGAGGAAAGTAGTGTGTGTAGGGGGAGGAGATTGGTGTCTGTGAGAGGAGGAAAGTAGTGTGTGTGGGGCGGAGGAGATTGGTGTCTGTGAGAGGAGGAAAGTAGTGTGTGTAGGGGGAGGAGGAGATGGTGTCTGTGAGAGGAGGAAAGTAGTGTGTGTAGGGCGGGGGGAGGAGATTGGTGTCTGTGATGAGAGGAGGAAAGTAGTGGGTGTAGGGGGAGGAGGAGATTGGTGTCCGTGAGAGGAGGAAAGTAGTGTGTGTAGGGCGGAGGAGATTGGTGTCTGTGAGAGGAGGAAAGTAGTGTGTGTGGAGATTGGTGTCTGTGAGAGGAGGAAAGTAGTGTGTGAGGAGATTGGTGTCTGTGAGAGGAGGAAAGTAGTGTGTGTGGGGCGGAGGAGATTGGTGTCTGTGAGAGGAGGAAAGTAGTGTGTGTGGGGCAAAGGAGATTGGTGACTGTGAGAGGATAAATGTAGTGTGTGTCTAGGAGAGGAGGAAAGAAGTGTGTATGTGGTCAAGGAGATTGGTGTCTGCCTGGTGGAGGAGATTGGTGTCTAGGAGAGGAAGGAAATAATGAAACAAAAAGGAGGCTTATAGCGAAGAGAGAGAGGAGATTGGCGTTGAGAAGAGGGTGGAAGCGAAGCAGTTTGTGGAGGGGAGATTGATAACTGTGAAAGTTTGGAGGCTCTGCATAGTAAAGAACAGGGAAGTGCAATATTGAGGATGAGAATGGAAGCTGTAGAATAAAGCCACTCAGGAGTTGAGTGTAAAACTGTGTCCTGAGGGTGTAAAGCTGTTGACCTAAATGGACAACTGAGCTGTTTTTCTGTTATATAGGACTAAGACATGTCATGGAAAAGATGGCACTGCCATGTAGAGAAGGTCACAGATCATATGTACAAATTTATCTTCCCTATGAATGTTATAACGGAGTTTATTTTGTAACATGATGAAAACATATGTAATGGCTTATTTAGGCTTTCCCTTCCCCTTTGCTAGTATTCTTCCACAACAAGCCTCTGAAGTGTTTTGCTACATATCCCTAGAGAAGACACAATTCCATAGGGTGTGGGAGCTGTCATGTTGAAAAGCTTTTTGTTGCCAGCTGGTGTTTATTATTAATTAGGGGGCAGGGAAGCTTGCTGAATGTAAGAAACCAGGTGGGAACATGTACCTGTATATTTTTTTTTACTTTGCCAGAGACTGCATTCTTTTTACTTTGAAAATGAGGTAACAATGGGATGTGACTTATCTTTAGTATTCTAAAAATGTGAATTAGGTATCCAGTGTTGAATCTGAGGTGACCTTAAACCATGGCAAAAATGGTAATATTGCATTCAGTATAGGAAAGAATGATTATGCTCATTTGTCCCCGACATTGATTCTAACAAGAGTTGGTGAACTTATTTATTTTTTTTTTTAGCTAAAACCTCATATTAAAGGATAAGTTCACCTTTTGCACAAAAATAATAAAAGCACATTTTTTTTGCAGGTAAAAAAGTGTACATTTACTTTTTGTCTGCAGGAGCCTGTAAAGCATTTCACCAGAGATTAGTAGATCGTTGGTGCCATGCAGGTCTCCTGCAGATCTGTCCATACATCTGATTGCCTGTACGGTATGTATGAGCAAGCAGTTATACTAATCGGAAGATTCAATGATCTACCATGGCTCTCCACAGAGCCATAGTTCATTGAAAACTATAAGCCAACAGCCACTAAGGCTGTCAGGACTTGTAGTGCATTCATTCACGGAACTCTGTGAATGAATGGCGTGACTGTGTGGGTGGAGCCCCGCGCGGGCCGCACTGTTTTCAAATCTGACAGATAGTATGGGGGAACTTTTCCCCGTACTTCTGTCAGATGGAGGGGTAGCAGCGTTTGGCGGCTGCAGCATTGGGAACATGTTACATGTTCTACCCTAAAAGTGGGGTGGAAAATGTAACATGTTCCCAAAGGTGAACTTATCCTTTAAAGCTGTAGTAAAGTCCTCAAAAAATTGGGCCCCCGGGCGGTCATAATATGCTGGTATGCACCACATACTAACATTATGACAGGCTTACCTTTAAGCAAAGCCCTCCCGTGGCACACTTTCAGCGTTTCCATCTTCATCCAATCTTTCTTCCAGGTTCTCTCTCTCTGGCTGTTTGAATGGCTGCGACATGATAAAATCACTCCCACGCATGCACACGGGAGTCAGTCATGGCACATCGCTCTCAATGGATGCTATACTCCAATGTACTGTCCATTCAGAGTGTTGTGCGCATGCATCGGCAGCGTCACAGACCACTACAAATCCTGCATTTTACTTTGTTTTGCTTCTAGAAATGTGTTTTCCTGTTTCATATTGTTCAAGATACTTATGCTTCCTTTCAGACCATGCATTCTACTTATGGATTCACTGAGAGGTCCTTCTCGATCTACAGTAGTAAAGACATTACGAGAGTAAGTTGTATGCATTTATTTCTTCTTCTTTTAACATTTTGGTGCCATTTCTTTCTTGGAATGTGTTCACTTACCTTCTTTCCTAGATACCTAGAAGTAGAATGGGAAGTAAGGAAAGGAACTAAAAGAAGTTTTTCCAAAGAAGTTATGAAAGGTTCCAATCCCAGAGTGCCTCAGCAAAACAACTTCAGTGACTGTGGTGTATATATACTCCAGTATGTGGAAAGCTTTTTCGAGGTGAGTGTATCAGTATGGCATTTTATATCATTTATATATCAAGAGAGCATGCAATAAGATTATTAGGGAATCATATGCGTAGAATATGCAGAATTTCTACTGATAGCTCTTCATGTCATTTCTAAGGCCAGGATATCAACAAAGCAATGGAGGGTTTTAAAGAATATGTAAACCCAACATTTCATATTCTGGATATGGGCCTGCTGTACCATGTATTTGTATGAAACAGTATCTTGTTCTTTTTGTATTGCTTCCTTTGTGTGAAACCCCTGCTGAAAAACTGACTATACTAAGCAGGAGAACACACCATGGTCAGTTCTTTAGCTGTGCTGGGAACTCGGTGTGCTCTCCCCCAATGTTAAGACCTGTGCTGAGAGGCACCCCCCTCACCCAGCTCTTTTTTCTCATCTACATAAGGACCTTACAGGGAAAAAAATGTATTTGTTTTTTATATGTATACACGAATGTCTTGCCTTTCATTTCTATTTTAAAGTGGGTGGGTTGATTTAAAAGGTGAGGCTTTACATATACTTTCATTTCTGCTATGATTTCTACTCATTGTATATTTTCAGTACTGCTGACAATTATATGGGCACTTTCTTGGAGAGCTGTATTTAAACTTCTGAATGCATGTAGTGAGGGTAAATCCACGGTGAATTGCTTGTTTTGGTATATTCCAGCCTGTCCGGGGCAATCTCCCTTTTACAATTCTTTAATTCTTTCAGACCTGACTGTCCAGCCACCATGGGGTTTCTTTCTCTACTTGGCATATTTAAGCCCATATTAATGTTCCTCAAAAGATGTTTTGATTTTCATCTATTATAAGGGGGCCGTGAATTTTATCCATGATTTTTTTTTAGTCACTGAGTTACAGTATACATTTTTGCTGAAGGAGACCATTTTAAAAGTCATGCTGCGGTCTCTGAAAGTCTGCTGTGTGACTGTACTACACTGATTCTTTAAGTAATACTTTTATGTTGATAGCTAACATTACTCTGACTGAATGAATTGCAGATGTAATCATTTTGTTTTTTTATACCCTCCTGCATCACACTTTTGCAGAATCCCATTCAGAGTTTTGATCTGCCAATGAATTTGACCGACTGGTTTCCTCAACAAAGAATGAAGGCGAAGCGTGAAGAAATCCGGAATCTCATTCTTGCTCTGCAGGAGCTTCAAAGTAAAGACAGGAAAGGACAGAGGGACCTTGGCACAACACAGCCCACTCTACCAGAGGGAAAAGAGCAGATCATCAATGATTTTACTTTATGAGCATTTCATCTGTGGCATGCTACTCTGCTTTCACAAATACATAGTTGACAACCTTTGAAACTTATTCTGAGGTTTGTAACCATGGAATGGAACATTCACTCTCTTCGTAACTGAGTGCCGTGTGAATGTCATTCAGAGTACAGGTCCCCAAACAATTGTATGAACAGTTACACATCTGTACATAGGACGATGAGGCCATTTTCTTTTCAGTATTTATAAAATAATTTTCTCTTCGCATTCTTTAGAAGTGTTTATGTATTCTTAACAGTGACTAAAACAAATTTGAAGTACACTTCAAAATAAAACAAAATATTTATAGGCTCACATTTCAATGTGTATTCTTCAGTTTGCCAGCCCACTGTGTACATTTCTGTCTTATAAGAGCAATATACACCTAATCCGTCCGGTTTGGGATTCTAAATTTTATCCAACTTTTCAACTACGTTTTGGCTGTCCATCATTTTTTTGCAGAATATATATAGGAGCAGTGTTAAATGTGTTGCATATGTTAATCAAAACACTTGCTCAGACATGCCGAAAAAAGTTTAGAAGTTTCAACTGCATTTTTATGCCATTGTTGGCATATTTTGTCCCTAATTTAATATTTATGTGTATTTCATGCCTGAATAGTATTCTGTGTTCATTCTCATATTTTCAGGTATATACTCATGCTGTGTTGTATAGAGGGCGGTAGTTTTTGTAAATAATTGCTTGTGAAAATCTAGGAATTCTTAAAGGTTGATTTACTAAAAGTGGAGAGTACAAAATCTGCTGCAGCATGCATATCTGCTGCATAGAAACCAATCGGCTTCCAGTTTTTTTTTGTCAAAGCTTAAATTAACAAGCTGAAGTTAGAAGCTGATTGGCTACCATGCACAGCTGCACCTGTTTTTGCATTCTCCAGTTATAGTAAATCAACCTCTAAGGCCGGCCATACATGGGTCAAAAATCGACTGATTTTTCGTCCAAAAAGTGGACCTAAGAATAATTGGCCAATTTTTGCTATGTTAGTGGGTCAATGGCACCGGCCGATTTTCGTGGTTCCTCCCCTTTTCGGTGATCAGGCATGTTGGAAAATTTGCGAAAAATTAGCGATTTTCGACTCGATGGTCAAATGTACGATTGTTTTTCTGAAAAGAATATGTACATGAGACATGACCTGGAAGGAACAGAAGTTTTGCATGTTATATTGGGTGAACTTTATGACTTGGTCGGACGATTTCCGAAATCAGTGATGGCACCATCGAATTACCGAGTGAACGACGATTCCGATTTTCGGACGAAAAATCGTTCGGAATTCGAACCATGGCCTGCATTAGCGTCACTGGCTTTAAGTAAGGTGATAAACAGGAGCATATTTAGAAATCACAGGGACCCATAGCAAAATTTTATGGATCTCCCTCCCCAGACAGAAAAAATCATTGAATAACACCATAATTACTACAGTGATGTGGCACAGGGCCCAAGCTACACATGCAGCACACAGCAAATGCTAGTTGCTCTACCATTCAGAGTCTGTGGTAACACAACACTTTGAGCTTACCTTAAAAAAAGAACTTTGTTTAAATAGACTAGTTAGCATCCAACGACTACTGAGATAATGAACATCCTCGTCAGGACAATTCTTTTACAGTATAACATATAGTATGCTTTGGTATGTAACTTACAGTGCAGTTTCCATACATGTAACATAAGACACAAGAGACACTGTCACCTTGGCCTAGAAGGGCAAGTTTTGTTTTTTTTCTAGGAGCCCCTCCCCAGTCCCCTTACATTCACTTGACCAGTGACCCATTACTGTTCTTTCCTTCTTCTCAGTCGTCCAAAATACCTAGCAATAATGAGTATGAAGGCGCATATGTGACCTCTACCTTGACACTGCTTAGGTCAAACAGCCAATGGCTAGGCTCAAGCACTGACACCAGTGATTTGGTTCCTGCTATGGAGTAAGGAGTGGCAAGGGATCCATAAGGGGTCAGAAAAGGCTCATTTACAAGGACAATGTCACTTTTACTGCATGCACAAGGCAAGAGTGTCTTTTTGACACAGCACAGTGAGCTGGCATTCAGGCTATAATCCTCCCTGGGCAATAGGAAAATTTCCCCTACCAAGCTCTTACCCCCACCCCATACTCAATAGCCAAAGTCCACCACTCAGCTTTGCACTCCTTGCCCACTCCAGCACAAGTACTGTCAGCCAGGCCACAGAAGCAATGCAGGCGGCAGGGAGAGATCACTATCAGCCACACCACATGCAAGTAGCAGGCAGAAGAAGCCCAAGTGAACCCTCACCCTCATGATCCCGAACAGAAGCCCGCTCGACCCTGTGGCCCTATAGCGCTAGTATGGCGGTAGTTCCGTCACTGGGGGTAGGCATTCTGTTTGATACTAATCCGGTCACAAATCTCTGGCTGAACTTTATAAACCCCGGTATCCTAAATTACCCTTTTGTAGTGTGCTACAAAAACAAACTTAGTGCCAGCAAGATTAAAACTATTGCTATAGCTAAAATACACAACATTAAATTTAGCCATTGCAATGGAATTTATTGTGTAGATAATTGTTCTATGCTGCTATTTTAGGTTTAACCCCGGTTCACACTTGTCGCATGACAAGTCACACCCTATTTGCGGCTATGTAGCCGTTCAAATCAGTGCGACTCTGAGTTGCACCAACTTTGAAAAGGGTTCTTACACTATTTTTTGCAATTTCATGTGTGACTTGCATTGACATCTGTGCATGAAGTCGCACTGATCGGCGGTTTTAAAATTGCTCTAAAGTAGCGTGTTTTCAAAGCTGCATTTGGTGTGAGCCATGGCTCAAAGGTAAGTTCACCTTTTGTAACATGTTACATCCATATTAAGGGTGTAACATGCAACATGTTACAGATGCACTGGCCTTCCTTGCCCCGCTCGCTGTCACAATCTCAAAAAAAAAAAAACGCAGCCGCATCCTTTGCGGTTGTCAGCTTGTAGTTTTCCATGAACTACCAGAGCACTGAGGCTCTCTAGGTAGTTCATTGAGTATTCTCGTCGGTGTGTTACTGCCTGCCTGTATGTGAGATACAGCTACACAGACAGTCTCCAGGACTATGGCATTACACCAATGATCTGCTGATCATGGGTTCAATACTTTACAGGTTCCTAACAAAAAAAATAAATGCATATTTTTTTTACCTGCAAAAATATTTACATTTATTTAATTTTTTTTTGCAAAGGTGAACCTATACTTGTGGTTGTAAACCTCAGATGTGAAATATGAACAAAGCACATCCTTCTATAGTGTATACTTGTCCCAATTAAGAGCACAAAGTGTACTTTTTGTCTGCTACTTTGTTTCTCTGCGATCAGCATGAATCACTGCTGACAAGTTTTCCTGACACCAAGAGAAAAATGGTGATGGAAGGGACCTCAAGCAGATTAAAAAATTAGCATGTATATATATACTCTAAGAGTCCTTTCACATGGGCATTCTGTTTTCTTCATTTGTTCAGTCACGTTTTTTGTTAGAGAATCGGATGAAAAATGGATTCGGACAGTTTTTACATCCATTTTCTAGTGAATTTAGAATTTTTGGAATGATTAGAATTTAAATTGGTTGAAAATTGATCAACCGATCTGAATTCTTTTTAGAGAATAGAGCTGATTGTTTTGAAGCGGGCTGGCAAGCCTGGCCGCCATGTCCTTAACAAGTGCTGACTCATCAGCAATCAGCGGGGAGTGTAAACAAAACAATTGCTGACAATTAAAAATCCTAAGAAAATACTGTGTGGGGGTCCCATCCATGCTATGCCCTTCAAATTTGGTATGGATTTTAAGGGGAACACCCCACTGAAATTAAAAAAAAAGATAAAGGCATGGGGTTTTCCCTGAGCATGCAGCCCGGCAGGTAAGGAAAGGAGGGGGGGAAATTGACAAGTGAGTGCCCCCCCCCCCCCCTCCAGGACACGTGCCCTCAACCTGGAGGGGGAGTGCTTTTGGGCAGTGGGGCCATGTTGATGGGGACAGAAGCGTCTTCCCCACAACCCTGGCCGGTGGTTGTGTTGGTCTGCGAGCGGAGGGACTTATCAGAATTTGGAAGCTCCCTTTAACCCGACGGGAGTATGTGATGGTAAAAAACAAAAAAAAGTCCCCCGATGTAGATCTGTTGTCAATCACTGTGCCTGCCAGGCATGCTGCCTGGTATGGTTCAGGAGGGAGGCCCTCGCTTGTCTCCCCCCCCACCCCTTTCCCAGGCTGCATGCTTTAAGGGTCTGTTATGGATTTGGGGGGGGACACCACGCTGGTTTTTTAATACAGTTTGGTATGGGGTTCCCCTTAAAATCCGTACCAGATCTGAAGGGCCTTCTACAGATGGGCGTACCAGATCTGAAGGGCCTTCTACGGATGGGGGGGGATGCATTTTTTTTTTTTTTTTAATTTTCAATTGCTAGCAGCTGATGAGTCATTGGTTGTTAGGATGCCGGCGGGTGCTGGCTCCTAACAACCAATGCAAAAATAGATGCAAACTATTTGTCTGTTGACATCCATTTAGGTCTGCTTCCATTTTTTAACGGAAGAAAAATAGGGCTTTCTTCAGTTTCAAAAATCGGATGTTAAAGACTAACATCTGCTTGCCCATAGAAATACATTGTTGTCTGTTTTCAATGGATGGAGGAAAAATGGACATACAAACGGCCGTGTGAAAAGACCCTAAGAGCCCAGTCATACCAGGCGCGACTTGCCTATAGTCTGCAATTAAAGCAGACATATCGGTGCAATTCTGGTTTAGTTGGAGTCACACCAATTTTGAAAGCAGTGCATGCACTACTTCATTTGCGACTTGTATAGAGATCTGTGTATTGCAGACCGCAGATGTTTTGCAAGTTGCACCCACATCTGACTTTGAAATCACGTGACTTCACTGGAAGTCGAACAATTTCAAAGTTGTATCGGTGGGACTGGGGACTTACGGGATGCAGACCTTGCAGCTTTCCTCATTAGAGCCCTGCAGTTGCAGCAG